TGCAGTATTTATGAAACTATACATGTTATATAAATCGGCAAAAATATAGTTTGATAAAATATATAAAATGCCAAAGGTAAGAAAATATACCTAATATCATTCAATTCTATAGTAAGCCTCTTAGTATCCTTTCCATTTCGTTCAGTAGTTTCAATGGAACCAACTACCATAACTTGAGCAACTCTATAAAAAAATCCAATGATTATTTAATTAATCTTATAATATATTCATATTATATAGAATATCTTTAAAGATTAGTAAATAGATTGAGCTATATAGCTTACCTATCAGGAACTTATCATCCAATTTTTGATAAAATATCATCAAATGATACTAATTAAACCCATGTAGAGGGATGGGTAAGTTTTCTTCACAAACATTAACAGTGGTTGAGTAAAAAAAAAAAAAAAAAATCTTGTAAAGATAGTGTCTTGGCCTAAAATCTCCGGTGTTATCCCCAACACCAAAATTACTAATGATACGTAACTGGCCTTCCGCAAGCATGTCCGAAAATTTTCTAATCAAAGACTTCTTAACAGTAGCTTGAATTCTACCACCCTATATATGCAAACAAAAAAATTGAGTAAGATGATTAGTGTATATCCTTTACATGATATATGAGTTATTTAGTATTAGATATTTGCTTACCTTTTCATCTAAAAACACCATGATGACTCCACCTTGATTTGCTATTTAATTTATATACTGTAATTTTTTATATGTTTATATGATAGGGTGATGGAAGTCAAAAGAGATGTCAAAAAAGAGTCCAATATAATTATGTATTTATTTTGTGATGGACTTATACTATTTCTATTATGTTGCTCCTGTGATTTTATTTTAAGTTAAATTTTTCTGTTAACTATTGTTGATAATGTTTCTGATTAGATAAATTTTTGTTAAGTAATTATTTATCTTATATTTTTGGTTTGTTTGATATTTAAACATGATATTATTTCTGATTAAGTTTATCTTATGTATTTTTGAATATTATCTTGTGCTAACCTTGTTTCAAGGAATCTGTTAGTTTGTTATTGTAACAGATTTTAGCTGGCTGATTAATCTTCTTGAAAGATAAACGTTGAAACACAATGCAGCAGCTAGCAAAAACGTTCAAAATTCAAAGGGCTGAAAATTCTGTTGAAGCAAGAATTAAGGAAGTCTGTTGAAGACTTTCAAACCTTTGAAGTCAGCTTTGCAACGTTTGAAACCAGTCTTGAAGCCTTATAAATAGCGTCAAGATATGCTGAAGAAAGAACGACAAGAACAACAACGACAACAACACTCAAGAATTATCAAGCTTCATATACTATAGCAAGAGTGTTAAATATTTTCTCTCTAAGTTCTTTAATACCTTATTGTGTGATTAGATTGAGAGAAAAGAAAAGTGTATCTAAGAGTGAAAAGTATATATCTTAAGAGTGATATACTTAGAGTAAATTTATAATACTCAAAGTATAGTAAAAGTGAGTTAGCTTTTATTTCTGGGAATTGAGTGTCTAAGGTGTAGCTGGGGTGCTGCGGAGAGAAGATAGTGAGATCTTCTAGGGTGCTTTAGAACTCTAAGGGAAGAAATAAAGTTGGTTTAAAATCCTACGGGTTGGACAACCCTAGGCGGAGACGTAGGCCTTTGTGCTGAACTTCGTAACAATTCCTTGTGTTTATTTCTGTTTTTATTTTTGCCTTGTTCTTACTTTCGTTCTTTGTTTCAAATAGTTTTAGCAAAATCCAAAACAAACGTTTATAACCTTCTGCTTACTAACTGTTTTACTTTAAATAGTTTTCAAAGTCTTGATTTGTAAAACAAAGATCAGTTTATTCCGCCCTGTAACTGATCTCAAGGCCTTGACATTTTCAGTTTTGCGAAAAACGCCCATACTCTATTCACCCCCCCCCCCTCTAGAGTATTAATATGTTTATTCCATTACCATTGTGATCCTTTCACACCATTTCAATACTGCCATAACTTTTGAGGTTTTCACAACCGTACAATTCTTATCTTGATAGTCATGATCCCCCTCATTATTATTTCTTCTACGAAATTGGATACTTCTGCCATTTTAATACTTGATTGTCAACTTTGCAAAATCAAATGTAAACAATAAAACAATGTAAGTGATGGTAGATAAAAGTTTTTTTAAAATCAAGTGTATGATAAAAGGAATTTATTTTCATTTAAGAAAATAAAGAATAGAAGAGATGCATACTTATGTTTGCGAAACAATGGTATTACGTATTTTTATAAAAAGGATAAATTATGATTTTGTAAGATGCCCATCTATTTATAGTAAAAATTAATTGATTAAAATTTTAATTTATGATGTTGATATTTTTAATATTTTATCAATTCATAAAATTGCTAAAATTTAGAGGGTCATGTACACATATCTATTAATTATTACTAAAAAAAAACGTTGCTGACGTCATCATTGTCCACATGTCACTCTCACAATAAAAAATTTCCCGTTTAAATGCAAAGATGAAGTCATCTTTTTTTATTTTAGCTATCATATTTAATACGACAATATCATGAAATGCCACTGAGTATTTAAAAAATTCACCAAATGCCATCGCGTTTTTCAAAATTCACCAAATGCCACTGAGGTTCAGTACAATATCACCATATGCCATTTCCGTTAGTTGACCGTCAGTGCCAGTTAGTTGACCCCACCACTTGCCACGTGTCACCTTCTGATTGATCCGTTTTAAAAAAAAAACTAAACAAAAATTAAAAAAAATAAAATTAAAAAAAAAAAACCAGAAATATTTAAAAAATATATATAAAAAAAATAAATAAAAAAAAAACCCAAACCCCAGCCACCACCCCAGCAGCCACCACCCCATCCATCCCTTGCCGCCGAAGCCAGCACCGGAAGGCGCGTCGGCGGCCGGCGGACACCCACCCCGGATACTCTTCTGGTTTACTTATTATATACGAGCAGTGTGTTCGAACTTTTTGGCATGATGATCGCTATCGTGATGATCTTCGTTATCTTAGGGGTGGGGGTGGGGGGTTCGTCGGCCGCCGGCGCGCCTTTCGGTGCTGGCTTCGGCGACAAGGGATGGCTGGGTGGTGGCTTGGGTTTGGGGTTTTTTTTTATTATTTTTTTTAAATTTTTTTAAATTTTTTTGGTTTTTTTATTTTAATTTTTTTTTAAATTTTTGTTTGTTTTTTTTTTTAAAAAAAGGACCAATCAGAAGGTGACACGTGGCAAGTGATGGGGGTCAACTAACGGGCAATGACGGTTAACTAACGGAAATGACATATGGTGATATTGTACTAAACCTCAGTGGCATTTGGTGAATTTTGAAAAACGCGATGACATTTGGTGAATTTTTTAAGTACTCAGTGGCATTTCATGAAATTGCCGTATTTAATAATTTTGAAATTTGAATATTAGAAGCTTCTACATCTATTTATTAACTAATACTAAAACAAAACAGGCTGACGTCATTCCTTCCTCAAATTATACACATGTCACTCTTACATAAATTTTTTTCCCAGCAATTTGCTATGATGACGTCATCTTTTTTTTTTTTTAATCGAATAAACCTTTCATATGCTTTACCCTTTATCCCTACTAAATCTTTTTTTTTATTTTATTTTTTTTACAATTATGTTAATGTTTCAATGTTCAAAAGTGTTCATTGTGATATTTTACAAGTAATATGCTACAGTATAAATTATTTACCATGTATACAAAAAAAATTTGAGTAGAAAACTTTCTTTCTCCATATTATAAGCAGATCTCACAATGTATTTGCTTATAATCGTGCATCGTACGGGAACTAAACTAGTACATTATATTCTATTGAAAAAGTGCATTTAATGAGCCTTTTTTTGTTTTGATGAGTATAAGTACATAGTTTACACCCAAAAACTTGCAAATTCTCTAACTTTATTGGGATAAGTACCAAAAAAAATAAAAAAATTAAGTAGATTAACTACTACTACGTATATCCCTTAGTAGTTAGTGTTCTAACTTTTTAGGAAAATAGTACTTTTACTTTGAATTTAAATTATTGATTGAGGTAAAATGTATGCTTTGAGATAAGAACAAAAATAACTACACCCATTCATATCACTCAAATTTAGAAAAAAGTAGTTTATTATTATACGTTTAAAATATTTTTTTTACGTATATAATGTGTATAAAGTATTATTAAGTGATCATTTTTTGTATAACATGCAATACAGTTTTGGGTGGGAAAAATTTTTATAATAAGTTGACATGTGTCCAGGTTTGTGGGAAAGATGACGTCAGCGATTTCTACTTTAGTTATAGTTATAGATATGAAATCTTTGTTAAGAAAAAAAAAATTAAAAAAATTAAAAAAAGTTTGGAATGTGTTTTGAATACGTCACTTTAAGTGTTTTGTTTTTAAACGTTTCTATTGAAGATATCTTAATCACAAATGAAAAGTATTAGAAACTACCCACCCTTCTCATCAGCCTTGGCTTTATGGTCTCAACTCTCAAACGTCTGTTGATATTGTAGAGGACTTTGTCTTTGATTACATTTTGGTCCCATTCAATTAGCTACGCTAGTGATTCTCAATAATTCTTTGAATGTTCAAAACCTTCACGCTAATTGTGGCATTTGAATATTTTAAAACCTAAACCGAAAATGCAAATAACCAACCTGAAATATTTGGTTTTGAATCAAAGCTTTAATGAAGGAAATCAAACTAAGACTACCAAGACATTGATAGGTTCTTAAACCGTTTCATATATTTGTTATAATAAGCCACCAAAAAACGCCGCAATAAAAGCAACAAGGCAACCCCCAAGGACTGCCCATGGCTACTCGATGACTCTGAAAATCCCTAATGATAAGGTAAATTTATAGGCCAAGAAGGTTTTAAGGCCAACATTGATTCAGTACACTAGCCTTCAGTTTTATGGGATAATTTACTAGTTATAACTTTTGTTCAGAGTGATGTACGAATAATTGTTGATGAAAATCACGAGAAGAAATATAAATTTGCACAGATAGACATCGTTCCAGAATCTAGTAGGCGGAAAATAATAGGGACCCAATCAGACAGTGATTCGGGGTGTAGTATAACTAAGCATTGTTGTCTGTGATACTTGAGAAAGAATTTCTGCACATTTAGATATCCCTCAAGAATCGTACACAAGCAAAATTTAATGATATGACCTAGGATTAATCCCAAACTACAAGGAACCTGTTGCAGAAGACAAATCTTACCCTAGCCAAAAGTAGAAAAACTGAAATCTAGTTGATGGGAAAATAACAGGTACCAAAAAATGATATTAAAGAAAAAAGAATTAACTATATCCCGATCTTTTGCTTGGCAGATGAGGAACCATCACCATCAAGTAGCTCATATGAAGTCCAACTTGGCCTTCGGCTTGATGCACTGAGCTGCAATTATAGGAAGGGCAATATTCTGTGCGTAGTATGTATCTTCAATTATTGAACTATATCCCATAAGACGTGAGAAGCCCACAGAACGAGCATTACTGTCCTTTCTCAACCAAAAGAATTAACAAGAGTTGTTATTTTACGGATGGAAAAAATGAATATTGTGCCATGCTAGTCTCCACCCTACTCAGCTACTCCCCTTTAATTTGAGAAGCCATTGCCGAGTCTTAAACCTCATATATCTAACCATTTGGCAAATTCTATGATGCCTCTTCCCTTCACTTCTCTACCCAATAGAAAACCAATATCAGAAGCAGACATCCATTTTTATCCTGCCTCTTTTTTTTTTCTTCAGATTCTCATGTAGCTGACTGGTGACTATGACTCCAATATGTGACAATTTCTAATAAAATCGTTTGTATAATTGACATACTTGGTCCAAAAGGGTCGAAGATGATCGAAGCCAATTGGAAGCCATGGTTTCGACTGACCATTGTAATGAATAACTGCCGCTTTCTTCACATTTTCAAGATTGGTCTTATTCTGGTAGCCCAAACCGAGCATATGCCAAGACGGGTCAATCGGATGTACGTGGCCCTTAAAAGCAATCAAAGCTGGAGGTAGAGTTCCAAGTTTCCACATGGTAAGGTTTGCATTCAAGTTCTGCACAATAAATACCATAAATCCATGTCACAACTCAATGCCAGTATAACAAAAAATCTATAGGACATATATCATCTGCAAATTTCTATGCCAAATTTACTTATTTCAAATATGAGGATTAAAAAAAAGCTGTCAATACAAATCATACAATTAAACAAGGGTTATTTAAAAAGACCAAGACTGAACCTAAAAGTTGAAATGTGGCATGAAGGAAGTCTTAAACATGAATGAATAAATTCTACATTTCTATGAAGAAAACGATGAACAAAAAATGAACTCCCATTTATGGCATAAAGTAAAAAAGGTGTACGTAATCTGAATTAAAAAAAAAAATATTGACAAAGTAAGCAAGGTTAACAGAAGATATTAGCAAATTGAACCCCTAAGTTTCCCATTCATTTTCTGACATATATTATGCCTTACAATCCTTTATAAGACCCATGCTTCTACAGAGCCGCAAGGGAGGGAATCTAAAAATCCAAATGTCAAAGTATAAAGTCTGTCTTTTCATGAATCCTCCTTGATAATCTGCTTATATAATCAGAAAGGAAAACTAGAAAAAAATATCTGAAAGGGCTAGATTCAAAGTATTACCCTTTACAGGACAGACTATACCCAGCCTCAACCGGCCATTGTACTACTAATTGCTAGCTAAAATAACATACTTCCTCTGTTTTTTATTAGATGCATCACTTTCTCAAAGTGGAAGTTTCAATTTAGATGCATCACTTTTCCTTTTAATTAATAAATTCTCTCTCTCTCTCTCTCTCTCCTATCACATGGGCCCTCCTTATTTTTTCTCTCTATCTCTCTCAACTTCTAAAATTGCCTAGGAGTCTTCAATTACAAAAGTGATGCAACTAAAAGAAAACGGAGGAAGTATCTCTATCCAACAGCATTTGACAAATAAAAACTGATTCTTTATTTTTTGTTTTGGGGGGGGGGGGGGGTTGCGAGAAAGTAATGGGATGCAGACTAAACACTTCATGATAATGTAGCGTTTCCATGCTCCACCATATTCCCTCATGGCCAATTCTGATCACAGCATCCTCCCCCCCCCCCCCCCCCCCCTTCTCTCCGAGTTCAGCATATAAACTCCAAGAATATTCAAATCAGAAAAACACAGAATAATATAATTGAAAACATCTTAAAAATTTTACCTCCTTAAGCCAGGAGTGATAGGTATCCCTTATTCTTGCCTTTCTCCACGCACGCAGATCAAATACGTTCATCCCATAAGCCCATGCACATTCATCAGGATTCAAATTCTGTGATATGAGAGGATGGGAGAAATTGAAATAATTTCTGAATGTCTTGGACATCACCCACTCATCTGCACCTCTACAAGTCTCTACAGCTCCATTTACCTTCCCCTCAAGGTCAATATCCCAAAGAGGAGCTAGGTCACGCTGAATTACCACATCATCATCCAAGAATACTATCTTGTCGAGATTTGGAAATAGCTGCTCCAAAACCATGTTATGAAATTAATAACCAGCATGGTTTACAGTAACAATACACTATACACCTTAATGACTTAATGCACCTTAAACAAGTATTAATACACACGCTACAGAGTATACATACAAAAATGATTATGACATGGACAAACAGGAAGTCTCAGAGATATCAAATCTAGAAAAGAAAAGCATAACCAGCGAGGTGTGTGCACAAGCCTGCCTCAATGGAAAGATAGTTAACAAGAGAGCAAAATAGGTGTCCACTCTTCCAATTTCCTTCAAAAGTTATTATTGGTGTTGGAGTGGGACAATGAAAATAGATGAAGTTTAAAGAAATGGACAGGAAGACATGCATTGACATTCACAAACAAATTCACCTTTTACTTGTATTTAGAGTAAGATTTCCAAGCTCTCTCACATCCACTATCCCTTTCTTTTTCAGGAAATTAGTCTTTGTGTTTCTCATGTTTGTTTCAGACTTTCACTCAATCCATAAAAGTTTAAAGGATCTATCCTAACAAAATAAATAGACAGTCATCAAAGTCAAACAAATAATGTGCCTCAGAAATGACAATTACCTCAGGTAAATAGATCCGGATATGGTTGAGCAATGAAATGTATTTTGGACTTCTTGCCTGTAATTTTGAAGCAAAAGTTCTTGGAGTAGTCTCACTGAGATTGGCTCCTGTCACATGGTTGCCATGGTAGTAATTACGTATTCCATTATGGCTTTCTATAGCTTCCAGAACTGGAATGTTCTCTCTTGTTAACCAGTCAAACTGGTGGACACCTTTCACCTCAACAATTGCAGGTGAGACAGGATTTAGAGCAAACCAAGAATGCATGCCAGCATAAGTTTTCTTGTCAGTAATAACATGAAAGACTATTTTCTCAGGTTTCAAAGATGATTGCACAGCAGAAGCGACCACAACTGAAGCAGCCAAAATATTATCCGTGGACAAAACAAAATGGTACATGGAGTTGTCAGATAGCAGTGGGAGCAACTCTGGAGGAGGCAATTGTTTGCGAGCATGAGCATTAGAAGAGTACTCATCAGTCAAACGCAGAGACAAACAATGGATGCCTTTGGGAATTGAACTAGCAGCAAAGTGTTTGTTCATCAGCTCTGCAAACTTAGCTTCCCTAATTTCTCTTTCAAATTTCTCTATCTGTTAAGTAACAATTTATATCATTAACAATCACTTCATTAACATACACAAACATAAACACATACACATAAGCAGATTTTTAGATATGTTATTGTTGGAGATTAAAGACCAATATTAGCTACAAGGCCATAACACAGATCGTATTCAGAAAAGACCGTCCATAATAGTTAATGAACTACACGAAAGACAACCATCACATGCATCATAACTGATAGAAACACAAGTTCTAAAACTTTTATCTTGTTTATGAGAGGAAAGACTACCACCCACCTTTATTTGATGTAATGTAATTAAAAAAAAAAGTCCCAACATGCCCTATAACCCTTAAATTACAAAAGCTACAGCTTCACCCAGATCTCTTTTTCGTTTTTCTTTGTGGAACCTCACATCGTTCTCAAAGAATCCATTTAGAAGAAAAATTATTTCAATTACAATAACTGATCTTAGTTTCTCCATTCCAGCTACTCTTGCTGATCTCTTTGTTTCTAGAACAGCCTCCTGGTGAGAGCATCATGCCTAATGTACTGAATGCAGAAACAATAACTGATAGTCTCCTCTATTGCATTGAAAAATTTTAGGTCACCTAATCCTTCAACCAGGGCAGAGATCCAGAAACTGCAGATAAACTTTTATCCTCTAAAAAACTCGCCAGTGTCACATATTTCGCGATACACGGAACAGGTGAGAGGAGCACAATACCTATTTACTTTAAATTAGCCCAAAAGTGTTGAAAGCACTGCTACACATTACCCAGTTCAACAAATTATGTACATTTCATAAATATAAGGGAAGGCTAGTTGCAAACAAAGAATATGAAGACAAATATTCGTGGACATCAGAGTTCAAATAAATGACATTCCTATCTTTTATCATCCCAAATATGCAGTATGGCTCTCTTCGTGACAGTAAAAATATACAACTAAACAACAAAAGCTAGGGAATATATAGGACATTCTAAAATTTTAACACAGTAACTTATGTTGCAAGAGGAATAACCGTTGAGTTTTCAGTGACAATTTTATAAACTTCTAGGGGGAAAAAAAAAAGTCTTGTGTGGACCAAATTAGCAATGGAAGTAAATGCTACCTTAGTTTTATCAGTCCAATCGACCACTATTCATGATGGAATTGAGCAACATGAAAATTATTGAGAACTCTTTTGTTTTAACTATCAGTAATTAATGTTGCAGGAGAAGAAACCAAAATAGAGTTTACAAAGTGATGATTTAGGATTGGTGAGTACCTGAACACTCTAAAGAATAAATAGATAAAAAGTTTTGTCTCCCGATCTTCCAAAGCAATATTATAATGACATTTCAGCATACTTTTGCTTACCACATGCTTTCTCAAGTGTAACATACAGAATTTCAACCATGAAAAGTTAGAAAGATATACATCCACAAGATCTATCTTCATGCAAACTTCCACAGCTAATGTAAGCTGAAGACCAGAACATAGGCTTCGTGATATGAAAGAGTAATACATACCGTTCCTTTTAAGATGAAACCAAATGTTTTTGCGTCATATTGGTTGTTCTTCATATCAGACACAAGTTGACTGTATGAATCTGGAAGCTTTAGACCAGATGGTATCTCTTCACTATTGACCTGATTAAGAATTTTGTAGAAATCTCTAACCAGCCTCTGTTGCAACACGAATTAGAGAAATGAGAAAAAGTGAATTTGCTTCACATAAGAAAAACAAGAATACAATAACATGCACAAAATAATTACCCCTGAATCATCTCTACCGAGGAGCCTGGGACCAAAACGCCTACCTAAACAATCTGTAACATAATGGAAAGACACAAGTCAAAATCATAGCTTCCTTGAATAGTTGGCCATACAAAAGAGTAGATCAAACAAAAACAAGGTTAAATTTTTTATCCAGCAGAAAAGCCAGCAGAAAATTGCACATGACAGCAGAATAATAGATTAGTTTATTAAAATAGCTGTAGCCCTTGAATCAAGCTAACATTATTTGACAAACACTCAAATGAACCGGAGGTCAGCATACAAACACACTAATAGACAAGAAAGAAACTCCAGAGAGAGACACAGGATACAATGTAACAGCCTTTAGGTTATGTGTGAATTCACAAAAAATTAAAGCCATAATGTTAAGTGCAACACCTTTCCTCTGTAACTGCTTTACATCTCAAAATTTAAATGGCTCGATCTAAGATAAGAATGAGAGGAATAACTTTACAAAGTGCATAATAATAGAGGCCACCAAAATAGATCAACATGAAACATATATATCATTCAAATTAATATCAAAATCACGTTGACAAAATATTCAAAAAAAAACATTGCCCTAGTGCCCAGCACAAAAAAGCAATAAAACATTGCAAGAACCAGTAAATGAAGCATACATTCTTTCGTTTACTTTTCACTCATTTTCCTTCTCCGAAAGGAGGTGACTAGGGTGAATGTCAGGTTCAATTATTCAAATGCTAGCGAGTTAAGACATGCTCCCTGCTATTTTGCAAAATATACAAAACCCCTGTGAAGACATGCTCCCTAGAACTAGATTCGTGTTGTAAATAAATACATACATCAGCTAAACTCATTAGGCATCTTCACAATTATAAGATCACACTTTAATTAATGATAAGCCAACACCATGGCCATTTCTGATTTCTGAATCATGAACAAGGGTAAGCGCATCTATGCATTAACTCTTACCAATTGCATTACAGTATACATCCATATATATCTAAATACCAAAAATTATAACATTCTGTATACAAAAATCAATAAACCAACGACAGTATCTCACTAGAGAGAGAAAGAAACAAAGGATTGTGCAAGATACAAATAAAAATCGAAACGCTGATTTCAGTTATACTGCTATAGTAATTAGTAACACCCAAAACACCTAGTGATTGCAATGATTGCCGTCTAAAGCAGCAACCTAAAACAATGCTAAAGATCACAAAAAGCTCAACAACGATTAACAATCCAATCCCAATCAAACACACACAATCGCTTATACCCAAAACTAACCTAACTCAAACCCAAAAAACCAAGAAATCATAAATCAACCCAGTGTCGGCAAATCCAAAACTATCCTAATCAAAGTGATTCCATGTCAATCGAATTCCGGAAATCGAAAACAAACATACCCACAAATCTAAGCAATCAGATTCCAATTCCAATCAATGCAAATCCATACACAACCAAATCAAACAAAAAAAATCAAACCAAGATCCAGAAAATAATGAAATCAAAAAAATCAAAATCATACCTAAAGAAGAACAATTGTTGACACCTTCAAGAGTAACAAGAGCAGTAAGAATGAAGACGAACGGCAACAAAAAAGCAAGAATGAGGATTGTATGAAAAAGGGTACGATATGAAATGTGACGAGCAGCTACTTTGATCTTCATCAAGTCAACGAACCCACCATTGCTCGATGATATAGTTATACTTCTCATGCTCGGCGACAAGTGCAGCTGCATCCTCGTCCTCTAACCAATTCTCTATATATAACTATCAAACAACTACAACAAATATAACATAATACTATGTAATAACAATTCTTCGCAATTTGTTGTTCGGGTTCATTCGATTTTGGTTTTATCGACAATTCTCCTATAATCGGTTTCCCCTCGACCCATCTCCCCCTCGACAACCTCTCCAACATCCGATCAACAATGATCCCTTTTTTTTTTTCAAACCCCTTCAAAAAAAACTAACAACAACAACAATCCCTTGTTGTCAAGAAAAACAACAAACAAGAAACAACCCACCCTAGTTTTTAATCTTGTTGCTCGGATTCAACAAGTTGGGATTGATTTATATAATATTATAATATGAAAAATGAAATGAAATTATTCTGTGATGACGGAATAATTTCTTTCTTTGTTGTTGGATTTTGTTAAGTGGGGTTTTCGATTTTTTTTTAATTTTTATTTTTTCTGGGAAATTAGTTGTTTGAGTAATTGAAAACCAGCATTGAAGGAAAGAAGGGAAAGAGGGTAAATAAGCTGAAGCTTTTTTAGTCTACTCTCTCATGGATGGATCGGGGTAGAGAGAGAAAGTAGAGAGAGATTGGGAACAAGGGAAGAAAAACAAAAGAAAATCTGAAAAAAAAAAATGAAAAAAGGAAACAAAAATAATGATATTTTGTTTGTTTAATTTTCCTCGTTCTTTCGGGGTATTTTTTTTTTTTTTCTTAACTGTATTTTTTATAAAAAAAATTTATAAATTGATTTCGTGATGTATTTATTATTTAAATAAATTGAAATGTATGAAAAATTAATTAATAGATAAATAAAATAAAAATGTATGATTAAACAATTAATGGGAAAGGTGAGATTTAGAGTAAAAAGTCAATAAGATTGAAATGGAATGCCGTGTTTGGATCGGTTGGTTGGATCGGGGGCCGTCGGCAAAGGGGTTTGACCTCGAGATTGGGGGAAGTTGGAAAGAGGGAAGTGAGGGAGAAATTCTGCTCATTTTAGACCTTTCTTTCTCCTATGTTTATGGACAAGCATTAGATTCAAATTTCTTTAATTAAATCTAATTAATTTATGGAAGGTTTAAGGTTTTATATTTGTATGTTTTTAGTGAGAAATGGAAAATATTTATGATTATTGGCTAATGATTTGCTTGCTTTCGATAATTTTATTATTACTTTATTATTATAGTTATAAATATGTAAAACTCTATAAAATAAGATATTAGACATAAGATAACAACATAAATAAATTTTTGGCCTCTCTGTATCCAATTAGTTGACACATTTTGATTGGCATAATATTTAAGGAATTTTTTGTTAATTTCTTAATTTATGGTGTGATAGTTGGTATTATAGTGTTACTTGCGGAGTATTATAATCTCTTTTTTTCACAATTAATCACAAAAATTTGACTGGTAAACGAGTCAATTCACAACTTTGATCATTAATATTTGTAATCATTCATTAAAAAGAAGTTAAAAATTTGATATATATAATGAAAATATACATAAAGACTAATCCAAAAATATTTAAGATGGCAACTCAAATTTTTATATATTAGTAAAGTAATTATATAAATGATTCATAGGTCAAATTATTGCAAGTATTACAAATGAGTATTATTTGGTAGGTAGTGGGTATTATATATGACATAGGGTAAATAAAAAGTAAAAAGTGAGAAATGAATTTTCTTACAAAAAAAAAAAAAAAAAACAAACAAACAAAAAAATATTGAATAAGCAATTGTATGTGTAGATGAGCAATTGAGTACAATGTATTTCACATATGAATGTGAATAGTATGAGATTAGCTTTTGCAAAAAGAAAAGTATTGTGTTAGTAAACCATTTCCATGCACCTCATTTTCCTCTCTCTAAATCTTTTTCTCTCCCATTTTCATCAACTTTTAAATAATCATTCTTCCCCAATTTCTACATAAAATTCGAAAAATCATTGATCATCATTAACACAACCGCCATGTCAGTTGCTTCTTCGAGCTCCAATCTTCCATACATCCACAATAATGCATTGAATGAGACCAATCTTACCCATCAATGAACCTTCAGTTTCATCCTCCATTGTGGGACTTCTATGTTTTCTCAAACCAAAGCGTCACGTAAAATCATGAATTCGACCCATAGGAAGAAAGATAAATTTGGATTTGTCGTCAAATCATATAACTCGGAATCTATGGTGATGATTCCAAATGATGATGTTCGTTTTTTAGAGGTGAATGTTTCGCCTCGTCTCGATGATGGTGGTTCCGACAATGGTAATGGGAAGTTACTGCTTGAAAATAATGGTGGAGATGGAGGAGGTGGTGGCGGAGAAGGAGATAGTGATGCTTATGTTTCGTTTCTTCTTATTGATGCACTTGGTTATGTTTATGATGGTGATGATGAGGATGAGGATGAGGGTTCTTTGTAGGGGATTATATCTTAGTACAATATTATCTTAATATATATTTAAGTTATATCTTAGCGTTATGTTGATATCATATATTGAAGTGTTGATATCATATGTTAAAATGTTGATATTAGATATTGAAGTGTTTATAATGAAATGTTGGAATAAGATACTGAAGTGTTGATATCATATATTAGAATGTTAATAAATTCAAATTTTAAAAAGTCAAAAATTGATAATCAAATGTCAAATTTGGATATATAAATATCTAAACTAAATTAAATAAAATCTTATATGAAAAAGCCAAAATCTAATATAATAATATCAAATTTGATGCTTAAATTAAAAATCTAATGTAAAATATAAAATTCTAATTTTAAAAAGTCAACTTTTGATATTAGAATGCCAAAATATGATATAAAAAATACCTATTGTTTCGGGGTTTTTTGAATGTCCTGCTGGAGAGTTGCAACACTAAGACTGGCATCTAGACGCCTGTACTTGCAAAACAACGGAGACTCATGTGGGTGGGAGTTCCGCCTCCGACGATCAAGTTAGAACGTGTTCGGATGTAAAAAGTGCAGAATGTAAAGGGGGATCATGCTCCTTTTAGGAGAGAAGTGATCATCCGATTATCTAAGATAACCTCGAAATTCGAGCCTTAGCTCTCAAGTAGTGCAATTAATTAAAGTTGGAGTTAATGCTCAACAATTAATGTACACGTGTGTTTAATAATTTCTGAATCTTCTGTTCCAAAGGGGGAACATCTCCCTTTTATAGGGTCTTGAAATGCGTGCCCAGTACTAGTTTCAGAAACCTAGGACCGATTGGGCTTGACTAGGAATTTGGGTCGTTAAAGGCCACTTTCCTAGTTAGCAATCTGTCTGCCATGTGTCGTGGCCTGATTGGTCCACCTTGGACCTCTCATGAGGTAACACTTGGCGGACTCTAGTTGGTCCACGTGGCAGAGTTCAATTGGTCGTGGCGGGGTTAAAAATCCCCTAATCATTTGCCCCTCACAGGGGTGATGTGGCTTGCCATGTGGCGCCTATGACAGATGTCACACTTTGATTGGCCAACGGTTTTTACCGTTTTTTTTTTACTGTCCCTGGAAATTCACCCCACTATAAATAAGGCATGTCCCGATCATTTTTGGATATTTCCAAAAAATTCAAACAGAACTCTTGACTTGAGAACTTTATCTTTTTCTTAGAAAGAACGATTGTCGCCTGCTACCAGACCGCCTGCTGCAGATTTTTCAAGCACCCTCATCTTCACAGACTAAAGGTAACCGCCTGTTTTTCTTTCGTACTTTCTCTTTGTTTCTTTTTCTTTTGAAATGGTTTCCGAAAAGCAAACGGCACGACCTAGGTTAGTGATCAGACGGTCACCAGGGACGGCTGAATCTAGAATTAGGAGTGTCGGCTGCCCCTTGCTGGATCACCCTTTGCGAACTGCCCCAAGTCCGACTGTCTATGTGTCTGTGCAGGACACCATGGCCAGAACTAAGAGAACTGCAAGGGTGACAAACTCAAACGGCTCCTCCTTCTATGCGCTTGTCAGTGAATTATCTGACGTGCGGCATGGTGCCCCCAGCACCCTAGTGATTCCATTTTAGAAGAATCAAGGGAGGAGGCTCAAAATGACATGCCGGGCTTTGTTGATCTAGCCCATCAGGCGGACGCTAGGTCCGAGAGCTCAAGCAACGACTCTAAGCCAAGTACCTCCAATAAGTTCTCTGACGACTCTGAAGAGAGGCACTCTCGGCTAGAGACAGCAAGAGAATCCCTCTTAGTAAAATTGGGTGAAAATTGGGCGGAGCCGTCTTCTACCCGCTGAGAGCAGTATACCGCCTACATCATCATGTTCCCGCAGGCAGGTGGAAGATGATGGTGGACAAAATTGTGAGCTTCAGAGCTGACCATGTCATGGGGCATGGTTATGTCCTATGTACGCCGGATGCCGAGGACACTGTAGTCTGGCCAGAGAAGTCCAGCTATGGGGACGCATGTTTTGGCTGCTATGAGGCGGCTATTAAGGCAGGCCTAAGATTTCCTTTACATCCGGCTGTGGAGCGAATCTTGGACGGATACCAACTGAGTGTCTGGCAACTGGCCCCAAACTCTTGGTTCAACATATTAGGCTATGTTACCGGCTGCGAAATGCATTAAGTAGACCCCAGCTTTGAAGCATTCGCCCACATGCACTACCTCAGCCGGACCCCAAAAACAAGCAAGACCGGCTGGTACCAATTGTCTTGCCACAAGGGCTATATGATGACTTTGGGGAAGGAGAACAAGTGGAAAGATTGGAGGAACACTTTCTACATTGTCTCCAACCCTGACACGGTCAGGAATAAAAAGTTTAACAGGTGGAACAAGAACCCACCTTTCCTAACAGGCGGATCTGAGCTGCCGCCTGTTCCTCGTAGAGCCAGAGAGATCCTTGACAAAGGCCTCTTCAAAGTGGATATCCAAGCGCACCCCGAGACTGGGGCGAGGGAGTTCATTCCTCAAAATTATAATCCCAAGTAAAACTGGCTATACAATGGGACATATCTGGCCACCTGTGGCCTCAGCGAAGAGATGCCGAGAGGTAGGTGGCCGCATGTTCAAGTGTTTTGTAAAACTTGGTTGATTTTGTGTCAAACTAACTCTTTGATTCATCTTTTGCAGATAAAGCCATGGAAAAGCTCTCGGCATCGAAGAAAGTTGTTGCCCAGTACCGCTCGGCCATCCTGGGCAAGCGGCGGCTGAAGTGTCGCCTGCTTTGCAGGCGCCAAGGTGAGCTTCTTTCAACTTTGAATAAGTCTCATTTAGCTTTACTATCACCTGCTTCTTACTTATTGTGGTTATTGTTGCAAGGCAACTTAGCAAAGCCTTCCTCCTCCTCACAGCCATATCCAAAAATTAGGAAACAGGCGGCTGGTGATGTGACGACTCCTAGGAGGGCCAGGAAGCACGTGGCCTCAAGGCCATGGATGAACCCACCTCCAAAATCCCTAGCCGTCCCTGAGGGCAGTCGGCCTGAGAAAGAGAAGGAGAAGAAGGCGGCTGCTAAAGGTATCAAAGACTTGTTTCTTTTCCCTTACCCTTTGAGGGTCAAATTCAATCAGCAGTTGTCTAGCGCCTCTAAAAGCAGTCGGTCTATTGGCCGAATTTACACCAAGTACTTACAGGGTGTTGATTGTGCAGATGCCTCTAAAAGGCCGGATCTTGTACAGCTGGCCAAGT